GTTATTTTTCATTGGGTTCAATAGCATTGTGTTGGTCTCTCTCGTAAAACCTTAGGCTTTATTAGCGGAAACTCTTAGGGAACATTCACGAGTTGTTTTCCTGTGACGCTGTCTCTGCGGGTTTGCGTCACATTGCCGCCTAGATTATTATAATTAAATGGTTACTGTGTTTAGTCCATCGGATTTCGTAGCTCAGCTTACTTCTCTGGAACTACCGTGCAGATGAGAGTGTAATCAGTATGTCGTCATCCATCGAAATTCTAGTTGCGGATACCAGAACTCGGATACAACATATTCCTTTGCGCGGGTTGCATTGAGTAGTTCCGATGCGATTATGTCCGAACATTTGAAACTTCCCAACACACTATTCCATTTCAGCCTCCAAGAGTAAACCCCACCGTTGTACTCAGTATTATTCGCTTTTTAATTGATTTGTACTCCTTCGTACCGCACCAGAACACTAATATTCCTATTCTATCTTAAGAAACCAGATTTGTTTTTTGCTTCGATTCCGTCATTTCTCACTATCATTGTTTCCAAATGTGTCGACACTGTGTTCTCATCACTCCCTGTTCCTTTCGGGGCGTTTTATTTTTTGTGCAGTTCGTCATGATGATTCTATATGGGTGCCTCTGAATTCTCCCATTTCCGCAGTTTGCATCGGAATTATCAAACGACGTTACTTTCCTCCACCTGGTGGTGAGCACCATCGATCCTGGAATGTGCAACACTCTGATATGCGAAATAGTTCGTGGTCATTTGAACATGTTTCAATCCGACGATCTGTCTCCTGTGTTGCGTAAGTCACACTACTCGCCCCTCATACTGTGCTGCAACCGTTTGTGCGCACAAACATGTGTCATCCCGGCGTGTCTTTAGCGATTCATTCCTACCAGTACGACACTTGCTTGTCACTTGCTTTTCCTCACTGCTGTCGTCCTGATTACTATAGAACACGGTCACAACGAGTTACTAGTTTTTTGTTAAGCTAACCATCAGGATCTCAGTAGTGTGGTGATTCAGTTGCCCAGCGTACAACCTCTGCTACCAAATTCTTGTCCTTGCTTCTGCCTGAGTCTGGACACTAGAGCATACTCCCAGTTCGCTTACGGCTACTTGCAGGTGCGTGGCAACAAAGCGTCCGTGTAATTTACCTATCCACTACTGCTCTCTCTCTTTACTTGGCCATGAATATGAGTTATTCCTTCGTAAAATGTACACCGCTTCTTTTTGGTACGGCGTACCATACTCTCAAGCTTTCATATTTTTGAACTTCAACTGGTAATCTCGTCCGCACTCGTCGTCACGTGTATTTGAAGTGGCATGGATCGATGGACACCACAATGCTCACGACAGTTTCTCTTTATTTGAGCTGTTGTAACTATTTGTGGACATTTTTCTTCCTTTCATCTGACTGCTGCTCCCATTTTGGACACCCGACTAGCTGTCAACTATTGGGATATCTTGAATTATATTAGTCACTGGAAATAGCTATTTCTGTCATCTTCCGGCTGTCGTTGCTGCCAGGAATTGTTCTTTCAAAGCAGAATTTATGTATTCCAATGGATGCAAAATAATAATAATAATACGTCTATTCCTCTAATGTGCGGGAGGCTGTCTCTGAAACAGAGACAGACCATTAGTACAGGACTGATCATGCTCATGCATGAGTGAGAGTTGGGACTCAAGCCGATATCATGGCTGCCTAGCGGGACATCAAATAACACGAATTTTCTGCGGGGACTCGCACTTGGTTGTTTACACATGACGGGTTATTCCACCTGTGTTCGTGTTAACCCGTTGCGACGAGACTGGAGCTTAACGATATGCGCGTCTCTTCGACCCATGGAACGGTCCAATTGGAATGTTAAGAACTGCCATCAGACTGGACATTGGTCAGAGGTCAGACAATCTCAATCACCCAGACGTTTTGGGGGTTGGAACTGGAGTGGCACCAATTTCTTTATAACTGAATCATTACCTATTGTGGATAACCAAGGGTACTTGTAGCTCGGCCTTTTGTGTCAGAGACCGCAGTTGATGACGTTAATCGTTCTCCTACCTAGATCTGAGCATCTCGTTAGCATCATAGACCACGTAGAACTATGAATTTACCTCCGACCTTCAGCCACACTGCATCGACCGCCGCGCAGTTTCATACGTGCGGGATGTGGCTAAGTATGACACGGGGCAGTGAGCGCTGCATGGAAGCTGTCTGGCCGAAGCCGCCTTATTTCCGCCTGTTTTTATGACCAGGAGTATGCCGATTGACTATGTATATTTGGGCATTTAGGTTCCCTCTCCATGTTTTGTTTACTCCTCATTCCGTAGCAGCGGAGCATTCGTTCACTTTTTCGATTATTGCTGTTGATTATAATGACCACACGCGTTAGTAAAGTGATCGCAGTTTGTAAGACGGTCAGTCAGCAGCCTACGAAGTTGGTGCCCTTATCCCCAGTGGCACCGCTTCGCTTGCGTTACTGTTGCCCACGGTCTACTATGCCTGGCGGCCAAGCTAACTTCGAAAAACAAAACTTAAGCTTCGGTAAACGGTGCATATTGTATGAAAAGGATGGTCCTGTTTATAGGTCAACTATATATCCTAATTATACAGGCGATGGCCCCCGCATCTTTGTCCTCCTTGACTCAACGAATGTGAACGCATTCTGCTGTACTGGTTTACCATATTTGACCGTTCGTTAGTTTAAAAGGCACGGGCCTCATTTACTCAGTCGACGCCCACGCGAGTTTGTCAGTCACTCAAATCGCAGCTGTGTTTCTCACTTAATCGGCTCTTCACGCCTTCCACGTGAAGCTATCGACACGGCCTAGTGTCGTAACGCCGTTCGAGAATATTCGCTCCGTTTGGCCGCCTAATATCCCCAATCGTCCGTTCTTTTGTACTCCTACCTCAATTCATTTCCCTTCAATCGCAGGCGCTAGTTTACAGTGGAACTCAATCGAGCAATATTTTTTCTGGCAGTTAATCAACGCACACGAAATTCCCACTCGCAGCTTCCTCCCCATGGTGAAATACGTGGACCCGGCGAGTAAGTATCTCCACTTGTTGTCAGCATATTCTTTAAGTGATGTGCCAACTATCCGATTGCTAGATAAATGCCATCTACCTCAGATAATACGATCCTAGCTGCCGAAGTGGTCGAGTTTCGCTTCAAATTAAGTCAGTCCGAATTGAGGTTGCATCTTGTACTAAATTCGCACAACAATCGAGCTCACGTATGTTGTGTGTAATGAACATCGATCTCATCAGGGCCGCTTCTATTAGACATGGCGCAGTTGCGCAGTCATTGGCGTTCCCGCATTTGCTTTCTTGCATATAGTCGTTGATTTTTCATTTCCATTAATTTTGCGCACTTCTGTCCTGATTCCATTTTCTTTGTTTTCTGATCGATTACCACCACATTTTCTTACCGTTGTTAGTTATTGTCATTGCGGTGACGCGATTCGTGTTAACTGGATCCACTACACCATAGTGCCCGGATTATAGTTATTCAACTAAACTGAATTGAACTAGAACAGGGAGGCTGATCACAAAACCTGTCTTTTTTGCGCGAACTGATTTTCGGACCTGCGTCACCCTACCTTGTTGGGATTGGTAACCGTTTTTCTTCAATCTGAGCACACGTGAGCTCAGTGATCTTGTATTTTCTCAATGACAGTACACTTCAATTGTCTTTGTATAGAACTTGTCAGATCAACACTCCTCCGATTTCTATTCTTTTCGCACAGCCTCTTCAATGGGAAGCAGAAGTATCGATCTGCGTTCTACCACGTTACTTACACGACGCATTCTAATTCGTACGATTTGTCTCTGTTACTCGATCACATGAACTGACATGAGCTCCTATATTCGGTAGTACAGCGAAAGGGCACTGTGTAGCCTTCCTTCCACTATTTGTCCTTTGATTTTGATTCTTTCTCGTACACCTGTGCACCTTTTTCGTTCATCCTCCTCTTTTGTACCGGGGCTTGGTGACTAACCGGTCATGTTTCATGTCTTATTGCTTCAGTCGTGCTACACTTGAATGACTGCTGTGTGACTTGGATGTTTACCTCCGAGTGTGACATCACGCTACGCAGCACTTGTCGTGAGTGTTGTCAAGGCGCTTGCTCCTACGGATCTGCCACCTCGATTATTGTATTCGGGAGATTAAACATCGCTTCTGGGGGAGACAAGGTGCGTAGTTTTCGTGGCAGTGTCAGGTTGCACAAGTGGTTCCACTGTGGAACGGAGTTGCGGCCCAGTAACCACTTTGTTCCCATTTAGTGTAATGTGTTCATCAGTTTTACGTCCGCTGCATACAATCTGATGGAACTTGGATTGGCTCTGGACCAATCGTGACTCCGATCTACACGCCTCTTTATCTTATTCCTTCAGGTGTACATTATATATGGAGTGTGTATGGACAGGGTGTGGGTTGTACAGCGTAATTCACTCTTACTTCAATTCCCGTAGACGACTGAGGTGTTCTACTTGTCAGCACTTCTATGGTTGTGGTGAACACTTTCACATGCGTTACCGATAGACATTTTACAAATGAAATCATCAAGAAGTTGGTGGCCCAGCCACACCAACTTTTCTGTTTGCCACATTTCTCCTTACATTTGACTATCCTCTTGCTCTTGTTGCACTGTGGCCGACGCAAATTGTGTGATGCAAGTTGGTTGCATCCACCACACTTCCATCCTACAGGTTTGCTGCAACAAGCTGATCAATCGCATGCGACGACACGCGTCATTTGCATCATGATAAGTTTCTGGACTGTCCCTCGTGCTGTAGCTCGAAGGGATGAACGAACGCTGGGAGTGATATCGCCACTTGTTTGACAGCCTGCTCTGCATTTTTTCGCGTATTTTCATAATGTTGTTTTGATCAGTTGACACCATATGACACACCGATCAATTGAATCGTTGGCACTTTTGTTGTTGGAGCGCAGCTATCCAGCGAACCTTTCATCTATGCTCTGGTCGAATTGACGAGACTTAATTCGCCACCGACTATCGTCAAATAGTTCTCACGAGAACCACCATTTCGGGTTGTCTGGATTTGTCTGTCTTCTGTTGCGGTCCTATTCACCCATAATCTAGTCTGACTGGTCACATGGTTCATCACGGCCGTAATGTGTATGGAATCAGAAGCCGCTTGACCCTGTGTCAGCTATCACTTTTCAAACGTGAAGGTAGTGTGATCACTTTAGATTATGCTTGGATTTCGATTTAGAGCACTTTGTTTCACGTTGCACGGCATCCCTAGGTGCGCAGCTCCTGCCGCAAGCAACTATTTCTATAGGTACGTCTTTCTCGGTCGGCCGGTGGCCGAGTAGTCTGCGCGCCTGGTTTGAAACCATAAGGTCACCGATTCGAATCCGCGTAAGGGTGGTCGTCCTCGCGGTATACTCAGCCAGCGTGCGACTGGCGGTGGTCGCGCGGCAAAGAAGCGCCGTTGCGGCGTACTGCTGACACATTATTATTTCTTTAGACGTCTTTATCCACGTAGTTAGTACCACGACAATATACTCGGGAGAAACTGTCTGAACTCAAATCAGTTTGATAAGAGAAATATTGGGGTTTAGTCAACGATCTCATCTACAAGTACGCCGCGGTTAATTAGGACAATAGAATTGCGACTCGGACTGTGCATCATTTTTGACATGGTTCTAAACTACTCCGAATAATTGCTTAACCTCGCGATTATAACCGTACGAATTCACTTACAGTGAGTGGCCCCGAGTACACAGTTTGAATCTTAGATGTACGAATTCAACGTCTATCTTTCAAACACTTTCGATTTGGTCGAGTAAGAACCCCTAGCTTGTCAGCTCACTATATCCACTGGTCGGACGCGTAAAACCAACCGCGGAGCTGTTTTGCCGGCCAGTGTCACTACTTAATTTAACTAGCCTTTTTGCTGTTCCGTGATATGGCCACGTCAACTTGGAATCGTGTGGAAGTTTTGTGGTCCCTTTTTAGGTGTCTTCGTAGCAGGGTAGGTTTTCTATGTGTGAATAATTTACAACTGCATCATCTCCCTTTTTGCCCGCTGTTTTTTCAGAGCATCCTGAAGCCTGTGCCAACCTTATACTTCTTCTCAAGTTAGAAAAGTAAGTTTGGATCCCAGAAAGCATTCTTCATATGCAGTTCTTTCGGCCACTTATTTGTTCGTACTTCTTTCCTTGGCGAGAACAGAAGCGTCTACTTGATCGCTTCTCTGTACTGAGTGCAAATCGAACATGGCTTCCGCCTGCGAATGGGTACATTATGAGGTGCATAAATGTACCAGACTCTTGGTCACATTTTGTTCGAGCTGACACTCCTGAGAGTATCGCCTTTTTCCATACTCCATGCTAACAATTTCCCTACTTCCTTCGTAGACACAGCCTTGAAGACTGCGGGAAACCTGTCATCCCTAATCACTATCTTTGCAATTCGAAAAGTGCTATGAGTCACCGCTTGTTAATATACTATTCTGCGTAGTTGCTAAGCCCGCTACACTCTACTCACAACTTGTTTGCTCATGGAACTTTTCTCTGTACCACTCGTAGCACTTAGTCCCAAGTTCATTGATATTCATAGCAGATTGCCAACATCGCCCGGTCGTGTGCGATTGGGCCTATCCACTCAGGCTTCCCTCGGTTTTTACGACAGTCGTTTGCTGTTCCCCACTAACTATGTGTTTAGTCGTCTTGCCGTTTGATCAGGGTAGCTCCTCACAGCCACATTCGACGTAAGCGCTGCCACAATGCTACACGTAGTTTGCACTGCACCATTCGTCCCCCCCCCTTGTATTCCATGTAGACACGATGGCCGAAGTGGGCGCGGCGGGTTGAAGCCATATTTGTTTTGTATTCCGCCAACGCTACCCATCCTTTCGTCACTTCACTAATGAGGTTATTTCATGTGTCAGCAAAGCGCGCGTAGCTCTTCAAAGTCCCAATCATCTATGGAAATGACGACTTGTCAATCTGTCAATCAAAAGCAGAACCAGTGCTTCTATTTAGATGGAACTGAGGACATGAAGAGATTAGTAGTTCTTGATCACTTGTGCTAGCTGAATATTGCTCACATCTGTTGAGAGCACCGACTGACAAATACTGAAGTTCGCTAGATGCGGTTCGACATGAAACCCATTGGTGCATCATTCGAGTGTCTTTGAAACCGCTGACAGCCTTCGCGAGATTGTTAGTCGATGATGTGGAGTGAAGGCATGAACGAATTGACCAGAGCCTGAGCGGGACGGCGCATACCGTCTTGCTAGATGGTGGCCTCGAGACCCTGTCCAACAGGTTGCGGTCACGGATTCGATGGCACTCCTACGTTCGGTTTATTGCCTTTAGCTGTTGATATTCCAATCCGATCAACTTTATTCGTATCTAATAATCTCCTTTTTCGCACTCAACTTTCCTCTCACCGTATTTCACACATTGTTGCTTGCTATCGTATCGGTGACACCGGCACCTCATTTCAATGCCCGACTCATAGTGATTTAACTGCACTCAGCTGAACTAAGTTTAATTTCGGATAACACTATTCATTACTAATGACTTTACCCCAGAGATCGTCGTTGCAACGTACACCAAGGGAAGTTGATTCACATTGAAGAGTTTTTTGTGAACGACCTGTTTTGTCTAGGCGCAGCGAGAATCAGCAGAAAAAAGCAGGCCGTTTTTCTCCCCATCGCAGCAGTACACGGAGTATGTCGTAACTCGGGTGTACCCCACAACCAAAAATGAAAGCAATTATTAGTGTTTTTGTTCGGTATTTTTGTGCTCAAATGTTTATGCGAATCGCCTCTGGTCTTCCGTAGATTTGAATCGAGTCGATGCGACACTGGCGCGCATTCAACCCCGAGATTTGTAGCCCAAGGAGGCGGAGTCCAGTTAGTATGCCGATGGACTAAGCGCTCATAGGTTCAAATTCCGAAAAATTTAGGTTAGGATTCGCGCTACATACAGTCCCCACTGGAACGAAGCTGATACAACGATTTTACAACCAGTATTGCATGTGTGGCTGTGACGAAGCAGTCTGGAAATCTGAAATTCCCTTCCCTACTTGTCTAGAAAACTTGCCAACTTGCGTACTGACTCTCGAGAGTGCATTTGTGTGCGTGTGTGCATACGGCTGCAACTAAAATTCGGGTCTGCGTTATGCCGTTTGTCAGTGAGACTTTTCTCACTGCTGATAGCATGATGCATCGACCCTTTCTACCACAATACGGTGGTCACAAAATGTCATCAGCAGTACGCCGGCACACTGTACTGACGCTTCGCTGTCACGCTACCAACACCGGTTGCGCGTGGGCTGAATATACTGCGAGGAAGCCCGTTTCTACGTGGATTCGAACAGGTGACCTAAGGATTGCAAACCTGGCGTGCAACCCGGCGGACTGATGCTCACACCAACATTGTCATTCTTTCCCCGTTTAAACTATTAACTCAGCGCTCCGCAATACAGAACGATTGACTCGAGTTTTTTATGGAAATTGTACCTTGAGAAACTGGAAGTCATAGATGGCCGAGCCAGTACACAATGCTTTTGGGTCCAATTTGTCTCAGCTGAATCAGTTAGCGTCGTTGCATGCGTCACTCACCGCTTTTGACCTTCCTTCTGGATCCGTACAGCAGTACATTACACTGATTTCCTCCTAACGTGCAGCCCCAAATGGTTTTACGCTGGCTGTGGTGCTGCCAAGACTCCCCCTAACCTAGGCACGGTGGATTACTCGAGTCTATAGTCTCAGAGTCTACAGGCCAGACATCTGCACCACTACACAATGTGTCCTCCATTCATTTTTGCAAGGTTAGAAATTTTGTTGGCTGACAATTTTGATATTGTTTTGCTCCAACATCACTTCCATGCTGTCTACTAGACTAATCCTGTCCCCATTTTCTTTGCTAGACCTAGTTTCGAACTTGTGCGAGCTTTGCTTTCGCGATCCGGGGTAAATGACGCACTTTCTGTTACCGCCCTTCACTTTTGGAGCTGTCCGGATAACCAACATTCTTCCCGTTTTGCAAGCATTTTGAAGTCGCTGATCATGGCACCGCTTTCTCAGCGAGGCGATGGTTCTCTTTCCAACTCGGCTACTACGGGTTCCGCTTCTCGTGATGGCCGTGAGAAACGAAGGAACGGGGCGAAGTATGTGATCACTTAGTCTGAACTGAAAGTTTGTATACTACGGGATACTCTTGAACTTCAGACTGATCTTCGCTATTTTAACCTCTTTCTTGATTACCTCTTCCCTCCTCGTTACTCACTCAGCCTGTCGCGCTTTGACTCGTTGTTGGAATACTAAATCATCTGCTTCATCAGTTATAGTCCCAGTGATAGAATTGACCAAGATTCGGATATTCTCATCAGCTGTTAACATACAATACGTGGAATACTAGTTTTGCGTTTAAAAAGAAGCAACGTTTCATGTCATGTCATGTTCATTCAAGGCAATGCGAGGCTGGTCATAAACTCAGTATGTTTGTACAAACTGGGTTTCTGCCGCCGAATTGCTGAAGCTTCAGCAAACTGAAGCAGGCGAGCATTGCTCTGACCAAGGTTCATTTCATCCTGAATCCTGATCCCCATGGATGTTACGTGTCGCAATCCATTCGCACAACATCATCATTATATCATCATTATACATGTCAGCTAGAGATGGTAAAACACCTCCGCTATTGTACCGCAATACATAAAGGAAATACATACATACATACAATACATAAAGAAAAAATAAATACGACAGTTGAATGCCAGCTGAACTACCAGCAACGGATAGGCATCGTTCCGGTAAGCTACCAGCCGGCTACTAGGCAAAAAAAAATAAATAACTTTTACGCTATGAGATAAGATCGTAGGTGGAGGGGGAGGCTAAAGGGATGGGGAGGGACAAAGAAACTCACAGCAGGAACGCCACTGAGGTCGGCTCCTTGCCATATCAACAAGTGTATCCAGCCAAACGTGTTCACCGTCTTTTGGACCCCAACCAGGGAGCCGTGAAGCTCCAACTGAGGCCAGCTCCGAAGTGAGGGCCTTCATTCCTCTGGACCAAGTCATCGCTTGGCCACCTCTCCTCTTCTTCCACCCACATCCCTGGTGAGCAAACAACGCACGTCGAGGGAGTCGGTGGGCTGGCATGCGCAACACGTGGCCCAGCCATCGGAGCCTGGTGAGTGAAATGACGGTGCTGAGCGGTTCATTCCCTTTTCCTAGGCCGTAAACAAGGCGTCGAACACGCTCGTTACTCACGCGGTGTTCCCACCAGATGTGAGCCAAACTGCGAAGGCACCGATGGTCGAAGGTAAGTAGCCTCTTCATGTCCGCCGATCTTAGGGGCCAGGTTTCGCAACCGTACAGTAAGGTCGAACGTACCGCTGCATTGTACACTCTACCCTTCAGGGCGAGAGTAATGTCGCGCCGTCGCCATAGGTGGCGAAGGTTAGCAAAAGCACTTCGAGCTTTCGCTATGCGGTTCGTGATCTCGTCTTCGATCCCAAGGGCGCTGATACAACTTCCCAGGTAATTGAATTTCTGAACGACTTCTAGCTGATCCCCACCAAGGGTCAGCACAGGGGGCGAACCCTGCCAATCCTGGAGGAACGCTTTGCACTTCGGTGGTGCAAAGCAAAGCCCGAAGCGACTGACAGCCAGTGCTAATCTGTCCAGCGCGGCTTGGCACGTCTGGGAGCTGTCACAGATGAGGGCAATATCGTCTGCATACTCTAAGTCAAGGAGTCGTTCTCCTGGGAGTAGCTCCACACCTTCCAAGTCATGTCCTGTAAATGCAATCTCCATGACTTCGTCAATAGCGAAGTTGAATAGGAAAGGTGACAGCGGGCATCCTTGTCTCACACCGCTGGAGATATTGAAGGGTGGCGACAGCCTGCTGTAAGCCCTTACTCTGCCCGTGCTACGCGCATATAATGCTTGGATAATATTTACATATTTCTCGGGCACACCTTTCCTGAGTAGACAATTCCAAAGGGCACATCGATCAACCGAATCGAATGCACCTTTGATGTCGAGGAACACGACTACGGTGGGCCGCCAATATGTGTGACGGTGCTCCAACAACTGACGCAAATTGAAGATGTGGTCGATGCAGCCACGACCCCGACGAAACCCGGCTTGCTCCTCACGAATCTGGCTTTCACGAGCGCCAGTCAGTCTGTGGAGAATTATGGAGGCGAGTAATTTGGAGGCGATGGAGATCAGACTGATTCCTCTATGGTTGCCGCATTCCGAGCGCGAGTCGCCTTTGAAGATGGGAACAATAACGGAGCGGCTCCAGTCGGTTGGGACAGTTTCCTGCTTCCACAGTTTCACTAGTAATTCATGCAAAGCATCAACAAGAGCAGAGCCTCCAAATTTGAAGAGGGCTGGAGGAAGATCATCTGGTCCCGCGGCTTTGTTCAACTTCAACAGTCGGATCTCACGTTCGACTTCTGAGCGAGAGGGTGGATCCAAAGGGACAGCCCACGGAGCGGAGCGATCAGTGACCGGCGAATCGAACAATTCTTGCCGATTAAATTGCTTTTCAAAATGCTCAGCCCAACGCTCCAGACGTTTTGACAAATTGTGGATAGGCTGTCCACTCTCGTCACGTATAGTTTCACTAACACCAGGTCTCCTGCTGCCCGTTTCCCGTATCAGACGGAATAACTTACGATGGTTGCCAAGGGCAGCGGCCACTTCCATCTCTGACGCACGATGAGACCACCAAGATTCGCGGTCTCTCTTCAGGCTAGCACGGAGTTTTGCCCAGAGCTCTTTGCGAGTTTCATTGTGCTCGCTTCCAGCCGGGATTTGCCGGCGAGCATCTATAAGTTCCAGAGACTGCGAAGAGACCCAATGTCCATGTTGTCTATTAGACATACCACATGAGGATTTGCCTGCTGCTAGTAAGGTCTGGCGAACATGTGACCAGTGACCATCAATTGTCTCCTGTGAGCGTTTGCTCAACTCGCATGTTAGCGTACTTCGATACGCATGCAGAACAGCTGGTTTTGTCAGTTGGCTGGTGTCAATACGCTCACAGCGTCGTCGTGGGCGTCCGCCAAAACGCATCCGCATGTCAGCACATACAAGTGCATGATCGGTGTCCACACATGTGCTCCAAACCGAGCGACAATTCTGGATGCAGCCTCTCCAGCGGTAACTTATCGCAATGTGATCGATCTGCGTGCAAGGCTGCTTCGAGGTTGGTGGGCGCCAAGTCACCCTTCGGCGGGTGCTGTGTCGGAAATTAGTGCTCGCAAGAAATAAGCGAGCATCTTCACACAAATGAAGTAACCGCTCACCGTTATCATTACGGGAGCCTACACCGTGTTGACCGCCCAGATGCAGTTCATCAGTGGACAACTTTCCAACTTGTGCGTTCATATCCCCCGCCAGCACAACAGTGTCCGTGCTTCTTCTGTGGCGAAGGAGCTGGGTCAATTGGCGGTAGAAGTCGTTCTTTACCGAATCATCGCTACAGTTTGTGGGCGCATAGGCAGCGATGATGAATAGACATCTGTTGGTCCCACGTGACTTCGAAGCTTTGAACGAGCCAGCCAATCGGACCGCACACATCCGGCTACTGATTGGAATCCAATCAACCAGAGCAGCTTCAGCCCGGGGACTCAGGGCAATACCAACACCGGCTTGGCCGGTGCTCGAAGCTGCATCGTCACTGGATAGGCGCAAGGAGAAAATACTGCTTGCGTCCCCTGAAGGGGATCGCAGAGTGAGCACAGTGCTCGAGTCTTGCAGGCGAGTCTCTGATAAGCAGCAGATATCGATCGAGAGGGTCTCCAATGTTCGGGCAAGTGCTGCCTGTTGACCGATTTGTAGCAGTGTGCGTACATTGAGGCATGCCAATCTGAAGGAGGATCGAGGGCTCCAAATGGAAGCCGATGAACTGGATTGGACCGCTTGGTTGGACATGGGCTTGTCGACAGGAGAGCAGTGACGCTCCGCGTTCACGTGTGAGTTGAAATTAGAAGGTAAATGCCTAGCAAAGCATGTTGGGGGAGGGCCAAGAATCGGGGGGTTGAAAACTGGGGGGAATAAGTGAAGTTGGAATGGGACGGTAAGAGTGAAAAAGCGTAAGAGGGGGAATAAGAAGACGGTAAGGCATGAGCAGTAGCATCCAAACCCCTATCCACCCTGCTCGATGCAGCAGATAGGGCACCGTTTATTATCCTCTGCGGTGGCCAGAGCATCAAGAAATTGTTTGAAGGAAAATTCATAGTATTGCGTGGGCAGGATACTGTCAGGTTGCCCAGGCCTAGACAGGAGAACGATTAGGGTTCTCAACCAAAGCCTTTGGTTCAAAAACCTGACCGCAAGGCAGCGGGTTTGGCGTTGGACTACAAGGAGTCCGTTTTAAGGAATAAAATGCCACCCTCATTCCAACCCCCAACCTGGAGGACCAGGAGGCTGAGTTTGTCTGGCCTCTAACCATTGACCAATCTGGTATGAGTGACTCTGAAGGTGCAAAAGCACCACCCAGCATAGCTCAATGGATCGCTGAGGCACACAAACCATCGCACCACGGTAAGGTCCAGCCTCGATGCGATGGATTCGCACATTTGAAGTATTCACACAACGAGTACTTCAAAATGACCCACCAATTTTATAATCGTGTTTTCCGAGCACAACCACTTTCCACTCCACCATGTGGCTATCGCTCAATAACAATTTACGGTAGTCAAGCGTTGCTTTTGCCGTCTGCTGTCAATTTTCCGCATTCCCTTTGATTGTTACCGGCCGCAAGTTATGCACTTTGTACTGATCATAAAGCCCCATCAGAAGAGGCCGTGGTTCGAGTAGGTCCCAGGTCCCTGTTTGAGTTGGTCGGAGTAGTCTGCATTAGATTAGGTTAAAACGATAACAGTTGAAGTGCCACTGCATACTTGCTTACCAAACTGGACAATGTAAACCGCAATGAGGTTTCTCCCGATGTCACATCATACTCGCACAGTAACCAGCCGTTTTTAACCATACTGTACTTGCAGAATCAAGACACCGAGTCGTTTGTTTGCCTAACATAATTAGACCCATCGTATCAATTGTCGACACGGCCGTGACTATTTATTCAAGGCTGTGTTGCAGAGAATTAATTCTACAAAATATTGAGGGAATCTATGGTGTATCTATCCAGG